TTTTTTTTTTTTTTTTTTTGGGGGGACCATCTCACAATCATTTGAGTGTAATTAACCTATAACAATCAAAATTATTTTAATCTTAACCTTAGTCGTGGTTAGATAATTTTTTTTTTTTAACAAATATCAATACTTTCATACACAACTGATATTTTTTAAGAAAAAATTATAAATAAAGTATGATATTTCACAATATATATCAACATTTTTGTTAGAGAAATATGAATGGGTAGATTAATCTAACATATCGGCGGGCAGCTTATAAGGAGTTTGAAGAAATGGGTTTGAAGAAAAGGGGATTGACGGGTGCGGTCCCTCGGACGTGAAATGCACAAAAACAGGGTGCGTCTAGATTGACTTTAGTGTAGTTTCATCCTAAAATCAATTGATGGTAGCACTAGGCTTATAAGTTACACCTATTTTTCCTGTATAGACGATGTATGACAATTCACAAGTGTATATTCTAATAAAAATTAATTCGTATAATTTATGTATTAAACAGAAAGGGGAAAAAATAGAGTCAATAATTAGTTAATTGAAATAAAAGTGCTAGCTTTTGAACTATTTTTCTCTGATAAAATTAATGAACCCATACATACTAAATAAAAGCATATATTGATCGTCAATTTTCAATTTTCTTTGTGCACACTAGTGATCAAATGAGAATTTGACATTTGAAAGAAGTTTGATGCTTAAGTAGAATTAAACATAAATAAATATGTAATTGTTGAAAAAATTGCATAGTGATGTGGGTATATAATTAATGCACAAGAGACCATCGAGCACTCAGCCATATTTACACTAACAGTAATGCTAAGGAGCCAACAGTCAATGAGACAGCTTCATGTGGGGCTATCTCATATTGAATCCATGTGGGACAATCCCATATTAAGCTGTCTCATTAGTTGTTGGCTCCGTAACAGAGTCACAGTTGACTCCTTAACATTTTTTTTTTGTACAGGGACCTTCCAGTTTCCGGATTTACAGGGGAACCGACTAATCTGAAATCGAGTCGGGTAGGACCACAAGGGCGACAAAGCTCTCTCTCAACAGTTTTAACACTGTTGCATTCACATGACTCCTTAACATTATTGTTTACACTAAAAAACATTTGAATTAGATATTTATAATTTTCCCTTTTTCACATTCAATAATTGAATCTCTGAAATTCACACTATGATATGATTTTTTTATTTATATTTTTTTTTTTCATTTTCCATGATTAGCTTATGAGGACATATGGCATTAAGTTGATGAGCTTTGTCTTATTACATTGATTTTTTTTCTTCGTATTGTGTCCCAACAAACTTAAAATTCACAATTTGGGAAAATATTGAACTAATGTATATTGTATGAGTATTTTTGAGTTGGTTGGATTTCATTGTCATACATTGTTTGAGTGTCCATGTTGTTTTGATTATTTAAAATTGGAAATCCTTTTTCTTTATTAAATTTTAAAGTGATCAATTAGGTGTTTAAAATATGACATGTAACCATTATCTTTTTAAAACTATTTTTAATAATAGCAATAATAATAAATTGATCTATTGAATTAGACTTCTATCATTTCACAAAAAAAAAAGAAGTAGACTGACATATCCACTGGGCTGGGTCGACCAACCGAACCATTGACCCAAGCCTTTGACTCACAAACTTGATTTTCAGGCAAGAATCGAAGCCGAGCGCACATATTGCACATGTCGATTTATGGCCAAGCTTAACTCCTTTTTTGACTAGGTGACTTTGGCCCAGCCCGGAACTAGCTAGGCCCGCAGGGTTTAGAGCCCAAAAATATGAAATTCAACATAAATTGAATTATTAAAACAATTTCGAGTCACGGGTCAGTACTGACGATAATTTTTATCTAGAACGTATATCTTGCAGCTCTTGTAGGATCAATGTTTGAGATTCACTCGAGTCAGGTCAATGGCACGACCCATAATTGATGAGTCAACGTGACACAAATGTATTTTTATTTAATAAAACACTTGGATGTACCCGCTCCAAATCGGCAGGTTCTTGACTTGGAACTGAACTACCAGACCTCTAGGCAAGATTCGGTTCATGATTATATGAACCTCTTTGATCCATCGGGTCAAATACAAATTCAATAAACATGTCTTTTTGTCATGTCACGTCTAATATTAAGCGATTAAATTTAAATATATAGTTTGTCGGTCTATCAAGTTTAAATTACTTCAACGAATTCCTTTAAATTTGATGACTTATTCTTTGAATTATACTATTACATTGTTCTCGAGCCATGTAGGTTTGGAAAGCTTCTCCTGTTGAATGGGACAACCTCCACCCTTTTAGCAAGTTCAGGCATTGGTGGTGGAGGATCTCTTCGGTTCATTCAGGTACTTCAGAAGTCGGGATGCAATTCTTTACCTCTATACTTTGGTGGTTTTGCAAGGCTCATAACCTATGGGTCTTTCACCAGCTTTGGCTTCCTGTACAGGCTGTCCTACAATCGGCCTTCAGGGAATGGCAAGAGTTCTTCAACAGGAAGCTGGTGATCATCTAAAAACTTGCAAGTTTGAAGGCTGCTCTAGTTAGGTCCTCTGGTTCAGTGGCTCAGGCACTTTCACTTCTTGTCTTTAGCTTCGATGTTCTGAATTTGGTTTGATCATTCTTGAAGGTCTCGAGCGTTTGTGCTTGTCTTTGGTTGTGTTTTTAGTTCACTTAAGGCTATTTTTGGACTTTGTAGTTGGTTAGAATTTGAGGCCGCTTTATGTCGGTTCTCCTGTGTATTTTCTTCTGGACCACTTGGCTCTTCGGTTTGTAAGACGTTTTATTTGATTCTATGAGTTCATCTGCCGTTGTAGAAAAGAACAAAAAAAAAAAAAAGATTTAATTTGATGTCATACTTTAAAAAGAATATATATATTTTTTTTAGTCAAGAGTAATATTCTTGAAAATGGGTTTAAAATATTAAATAATTGTTATACACAGTTTCTTAAAAGTGAAAAAAAAAAATAAAATAAAAAAAATCTAAGATTTGTTTGAAAAAACTAGCTTTCATGTGTACAAAAAGACAGACTTAACATGACCTTATTGTGCAATATATTCAATATATCTTACTAACGTATGAATTTAATTGGTGTGATATACATACCATATAGGACTTTATATATATAGTATTAAACAGACCAAACTAATGTACAATTGTACATATCACATGGACCCAACATTTGTTTAGGCACATCTAACTTCATTAAACACAATAATTAAGAAATCAGACTGTATTATTTTACACCAATATTTCCTCAATGGCCACCAACTCTTGTGAAGCTTCATGGAAATAATCATTCAAATTGTCCTTAAAATTGGTTAACTTTAAAATTTTTCCAGCCAAATTATAATTTACAATCACAATTATTCTAAAATAAATTTTGAAAATTACATAATTCATTTTCAAAATTTTCCCTATATTTTTGTGGATTAAATTAAAGAATTTATAACTGAAAGCATAAAAAAAACACATAAAACACATAAAAACAGACCATACCACACGATTTTGCTATGGAGTCATGGCTCGCTTTATGGAGTCATCCCTAGTTATTCATAAATGATGTACTGATACGTGTCCTGCAATAATTACGCATTGAATATGTGTCAGTATATAAAATTATGGATGCTTCATAAGAGAGCCAATCGATGAATATAGATTTTTTGCCACGCCGCATTAGAATTTAGTTGGCCTGTTACCATGTGGGGACCCAATATTTCTCATAAACAATGGGTTTTGCACCATTACGGGTGCTGAGTTCTGTGACATTTTTCAGGGTTTACAGTTGGCTTGAGAGTCGGGATATAGACGAGTAATTGCCGAGGTTGATCTGTGCGTGCAAAAAATGGTTTGTAGCCCAGAAGGCGAACTCGAGCCCCATGAAGCAATGGTTAACTAGGCCATTCGGGATATGATCCAAAGAGACTGGAATATTAGAATCCAACATGCACACCGAGAAGCCAACTTTGCGGCTGATCATATGGCGAGCATGGCAGCATCCTATCTGATTGACTTGCATCGCATCTATCTCCCCCCCCTCCCCAATGGGTTTGGGAACATGGCTCGAACATGATAATGTTGGGATGTCGTACTAACGTATAATTGCATAGGCCACTGATCTCCTTTTTTATAAAAAAAATAAATAAATAAATAAATAAATCTGTCAGGTATTTATTTATTCTATATACCTAAACCAACCTATATAAGTACCAAATTAAATAATATATACTTGCGTTTAAAACTCTATATTATACATAATTAGGCAACAGGTACATTATAGATTGTTCCTTTCCTTTTCATCTCCCCTGAATTAAATAAACAGTACTCTTCACCCACACTTCTTTAATCTTTATTACAATTCTCCTTCAAAATTATATAAACATAGATCACATATTTAATTAATCATCATATATATAAATCTCTTGTTTATAACCCAAAAAAAAAATATATATATACTAAATTATATAATTTTGTTCTCTGTACTGTACATATCTCTATCTTTTTTTTTTTTTTTT